GAAGTTAACCTCATCTAACATACAGGAACCGACACAACAGGTTAAGTGAGGGAAGTTAACCTCATCTAACATACAGGAACCGACACAACAGGTGAAGTCAGAGAAGTTAACCTCATCTAACATACAGGAACCGACACAACAGGTTAAGTCAGAGAAGTCAACCTCATCTAACATTCCAGTGATGTTAATGACCGCGACACATTACAGTCACCGCTCATCAGGCTTACCAGAATTGAAGAAGATATTCCAACACCCTCAGCAGCTTCAAATGCATAATTGAAGTTACTCCTCTGCAATGAAAAACAAGACAAAATGTTATCATATATTATTTAAACCCCCAAGTACAGACAAGGTACATCTGCTGAGTGGTCTCCCTTACACTGTTGAAATGTCACAAACAGGGATTAATCTAGAATTTGGAAAATTAGCTTTGAAATGAAGAGTACTTTGAAGGTCAAAGGTCCAGCAGAGAGGCTGGGTGCCTCCTCCATACTAGAACATGTAGGTAATGTTTCCTTAGCTTTACTTCCTTCTTAAGTTACAATGTATTTTATCAGCAAATATCTGAAACATCATCAAAGTGGTGAAAGGAGTTACTAGTCGATTTGTGTGTAGATATCATACAGATCATTGGTCACCTGAGTTATAGGTAGCTTAATTACATTGTAGATATCATACAGATCATTGGTCACCTGAGTTATATTATAGGTAGCTTAATTACATTGTTGAGATGTGAAGTGGAAAACAACATACAAACAAAATGAAACACAATACCTGTCATGTCACTAAGGGAAAAGATCTTAAAAAAAGTATCGAAATTGAATTGAAATTGAAATTATTTTGCTATTGAGAAATGTAATATCTATTGTAACGAAGCCAATTTTCCTCTTTGGCTAACCCAAGGGGTAGGTCAAGACCTTACCTCTGACTATTTAAATTCAATTTCATCATAACTATTCCAACAAAGTTTGAATAATTTCTTTCTGAGAATAAACAAAGTATACCCAACAGTGTTATAAACTTTACACTCTCCCAAAGGGAGAGCAGGATACCTAGGGGTTATGAAATTAACAATTTAGTTCATGCGCCTTAGGACTTTCCATCTATGAAGAGTATGTGATTTACAATTTAGATAAAGCCTCTGATAGTCTTTCCATCAATGCAGAGAAATTGATTGTATAGCTCATCTGAGTCTGGGAGAGATTTTTGAAATATTGGTTAATTTTCCTTTTGGAGCCTCACCCTAGTCCCTTGTATTGGGACATGAATCCTAATTTTACAATTTGTTACCCTCTTCCATGAAGGTTGATTCTGATTAAATTTAAATAAAAATTATAATTATAACCCCCCCCCGTCAACCTAGTATTACTTGTTTAGTTAATGGTTTAATGTTTTCGGGGGATTTTTTTCCAGGTTACGGAGGTTTCAATTGCAGACAAGTTATCTCACCTTGTCCTCGGAGGAGAGGTCAGCATAAGGTATCTTGTTAGGGATGTAGCTATGCAGCAGGGCACAGAACGCCAGTCCATCATTCCAGCTACTGCTGAAGTTAGTGATATCCACCTTCTGTAATAAACAGGTTTATTAGGACAGTAACGATATAAATCTGGAGTATATTACTGACTGGATATGACATAACTGACTAGACATGATAAAACTGATCATGAATCAATATGATTTTAACATCAGTTTGTGAGGAATTATTGGTCAATTCAACATGGTTTATTCGGACATAAATCTGTGATCTATTGATTTTTATAGTAAATTATTGTAAATAACCTAACAGTTCAATTTATTTTTTCTTCCTTACCTCAGTATTATGTATGAAAGTATACTTATCAACAGTCATATCATATATATATATATATATATAAAGAAAACATTGAGAAGTCCTTGTGTTGGAATTAAATATAAAAAATAGAACAAAAGACAGAGATAGCGTCTCTAGGCCTTTCTTGGGTTGATTCCCCATTTATCAGGAGACTGTTTATTTTGAAAACAGGTATTGTGAGGTCATAGTTGTTTACACAAGAAAGTATGACATCATCAATAATGCAAAGTCATTATGACGTCACAGAATGCATACACATACATCCATGACGTCGACAACAATACAAGCTAAATTGTGACGTTACATTACTTAGACAAATGCATAACTTTATGATCTTACCAACAATAAACAAGAGGCCCATGGGCCTTAACGGTCACCTGATATATTTATACAGAGAGTTGATTTTGTTTTTAACATGAACAGAAATATTATTCAAAGTGACAAAAAACAATAAAACCACCTTACTCAATATCTAGCATACAGATTTCAGACTAAAAAGGATTTGAAACTAGCACCTCTGATTCTTAACAAGGAAAATGAAGAAATTTTAGCACACTGACTCCTTTGAGCCCCACCCTACAGCCCTTGGGGGTAGGGCTGGCTCAAAATTTTCAAAGTATCAAACTGTCAATTCAAGGTTATAATTCCAATCAAGTTATTAACATGTA